TTGTTCCGTAACAGCTCATGCACGCACGTGCTTATCTCAATCAAGATGCTGGTGGAAATGGACACTAAGAAGCTTACTTACATTTACATATTCTAATGTACTATCTGAGATCGTAATAGCTGGTCGATTCTTATCTAAACTACGTACATGTGACATCTGGTTTGTGGACAGCAACATCGTCTTTATCTTTTTCGACTTAAGTGCTAGATGGGAGTCATTAGACCAGGAGCTCACAGTCTTTAGTGTTTGAGAAGAATGTCATTTTGTGTTTCTTCTTAAGGAATTTCTGTCCTTCATCCAAGAATGGGTATTTGTTTTTTAAAATGCTCATAATATCCTAATTCTTCTTCAGAGATTGACCTTGCCTTGGTGAAGAATCAAATTCAAAATGATTTTTTCTGGAAAAATTTCTGTGCTCTTCTGAAGACTGACCATTCTAGTAAGCATAAACTCCTGCTTTAAATGGGTTTTTTTGAAGTATCAAAAGGATTTTTTTCGAATTCTGACTCAGAAAATTACACTGAGATAAAACATTAGAGACAAATAATAATCGTTGTGTTGCAATAATTAAATTTATTATTAGCTAAGTAGGACAGCGCTGAGTAACGCCTCTGCTTGTGACAAACACACTTGTGATGCCTGAACAACCATTTAGGTAAAACAAGAAAGTGGTAATTTTGAGACAGTCAAAATATTGCTTTTATAGCCCTTATCCACTAAAACATATTGTTAACACATTATCATCAACGAGCCGTAAGTAAAGCAATTGATGTACAACATCGTAAACAACCAAACTCCAAATTATATCTGAGTTCTCGATTTTGTCCGTGCAGCGTAGCCTTGACGTACAATCTCAGTCGAAAATGCTGAATGCAAGCTATCCATTTCACAGCCTCTCTCTAATAATTGTAAACAAAGTTTAAGCTATAGCGGGGCTGTGTGATGGAATAGCCTGCCGAAAGAGATAAAACAATCAAACCCTCCTAATGATTTCAAAATTGAATAAAAAACCACACTCTCTAAAGCGAGATCATCTAGCACTATCTTACATATACATGGCAACCTGTAAAGCAGGTTCTTTCATTTAATTACTTACACTTAGCTTTTTATTAGTCAGTGTAATTGGGTTTTTTAACCTTTGGAAACACCGTGTTTGAACAAAGTTTTTACTTATTTACAAAGATTTCGGGTGACAATTTGTATAATTACAGATTGTGTAATGTAATTTCTAATACAGATTCGTAGAAGTTACAATAATTATTACCAGGAACGGGGGCGTTACAGGGAAGCAGCGAGTTTAGAATCAACGAAATTTTCTGACCGAAATGTTCTGCAACAAAAGGTTCCTCTAATGTGTTGGCGAAAGTTACTACTATGAAGAGCGTAAATGAAGGGATTTATGGCTGAATTGACGCCAACGAGTACTACTGATATGATATAAGGAACTGAGCCATATGCATACACTTCTGACTCATACTTAGACAACATATATAACACCAGGTTAGGTAACCAGCATACTGTGTACATTAAACTCACCACGAAAACCATTTTTGTCACTTTCAGCCTTGATCTGATTCGCGCTTGCTCAGTGACCCCTAAGTTATTGGGATTTCCTCTATTCCAGAGATTGCAGAGCACCTTTAAATATAAAACTGCCATGGCTCCCACGGGAATAGCACCGAAAACAAAAAAACAAGCAATGGTGTAAGCTTTAGCCAGATGTTCATTCGCCCAGTGTTCCGGGCAATGGGTTACACCGCGTTTATCATATCGAACAACAAAAAACAAGGGCAGGTTGAAGATTATGGCGTAAAGCCAGCCAATGATTATGATCGAGATTAATCGACGATTTGTAAGTCGCCAACGATCGCCAAAGGGGTAAACAACAGCGAAATAACGCTCAATAGCAACAACTACCAATGAGAATGCTGATGCAGCCCCACCAATCCAGATGAAATTCCCTCCAGTTATAAACTTGCACATGAAATCCCCTGCAGTACCTGACGGGTGGTGAAACGCCCACTTGATGACATAAACTGGAATGATAAAAAGCGCCACCATGATATCTGAGGCCGCTAGGTTCACAAGAAGGTAATTGACCGGTGCTCTCATTCCATGGTATCGGAACACAACCAGGCATACTACGGTGTTTCCCACGAGATTCACTATAACCACCACAGAGAAAGCAACGGTGAGACCCATGTCCAGTGACGTCATAGAAGTCATGGTGTGACCTTGCAGAACTGCAAAAGTAGAGGTAATAATTAACCTGCAGAACAGGCCTTATTTTTGGCGTCTATCAGGTCAATTTTCCCCCTACCCCTCGCTGAAGTCTTAATTTGCGCGTGCGCCTCGCATTTTCCTCGCGTTCGTCTCGCGCTTTTCTTGCGTTTGTTTCGCACTTTCTTCGCGTTCGTCTCTCGCTTGCCTTTGCTTGCATAAAAAACGTTAAACAAAATGTTTCCTGTTCGGCCGACTAAAGTGGTAAGAATTAGAAAACACGTCAAGCTCATGACTTAATGGTGTATTTTATGATTTAAGATACTCGTAAGCAACATTTTCTTGGAGGACCTTTTTGAAGTCTCAGCTTTTCATTGATAGGTTGCTTGAACTCTGCTTTAAGGCCGTCCAGGATTCTGAACCCATCTTCACCACGAGATTGCAATATATTTTAAAATTGTAAAATTATGCCAAAGAACTATAATTTCTTCGGATTGTTGTCTTGTGTCAATACACCGAAAAACAAGATAATTCATGCCCTCATCATGATATGAAAATACCTCATACCAAAGCAAAAAAAGAGAGTGGATGCCCCAAACACAAACGGAGAAAGACTCTTCCTGCAGAGTTACATGAACAATTGTGCTGCTGACCACACCACACAGTGAGGCTCAATAAGGTTGAAATTCACGCGAGTATCCGAACAGGCAACTTTTATTTGTACAAGTAATAACGATGTGTTAATGATATTTTATGCAGCTGTTAATCACAAGTTACTTTAAATAACACCACAAAAATTAATTGAAATGTCACAACTTACTTTTGGATCATCGAACACCAGTCTCGAAAGTGGCGAATTTCGCTGAAACTTCAGTCGCCGGAGCTTACAACAATTCACTAGGTAGACAGCTCCATCGCAAAACGACCAGATGTTCTCATGTGAAGGTGAAAAATACCAGTTCTCGGAATTCCCTGCTATGCTCTCTTTAATTTGGGACATGACAGCCTGGTTTGAGTGAAGACTCGTTCGAGAGGAAGTATGCGAAATCGTACCTAAGTACCTATGCGATGAGTTGTAGAGGAAAGGGCCAGACAAAAACTTGAACTTTGAGCTGACGAGATTTAACAATAGTCATATTCTTAACAACCGAGCGCAATCAAGTAACGCGGAAATAGTGTTACTTTTGTGATATTTTTGTCGTGTCGCGCTGTTTTATGATCCATAGCATGATGTTTCTCCTTAAGTTTCCGGTTTATATTACAAATTGTCTAATCATACTTCTATGAGACTTGGAAAGAGCCAAGCGATTCTGACAGTTATTGTGCTTGAAGTCGGAATACCGGATTGAAAGTTTAAACATTTAAATTATACAAGAATTACGATAGCAAAGTGTCTTACGTGTTATGTAGCAGATGGACACGTCGAAGTTCTTTAGTTTTGTCTCAAAACTGTACACCAAGAGCAACACTTAATCTTCTTTCGAAATTTGAACGACTCGAAGTTTTTGCAGCGAAGAAGAAGCGGATAAACATGGTATGAATTTGTAATGAGCGCAGTGATTTGGGCCGTGCTGTTCGACCGGAAATTAGACTTTGTTCCCTCTAAGCGATGTACTCATGTTTATTAGCTAAGTTACTGCACACTTACCTTGTTTCGATCAGGATAGAAAATGTTCACTGTAAAATTTCGATTTCTGCAGGACTGCACAAGCATGACCGTTCAAGCATGATTCAAGCAAGATACATATTCATGATAAGGCATGCTGTCGTAATAGCGTGACAATAAGCTGACGAGCGTGACTAAAGTTAGGCATCATATTCCGGTTTCTTTAACCTTTACTCCCGAATATGATTGACATGTAAGGTATAAATAATTAAGATTGACTTACATTCTCCCTCAAACGGACTGATTGATCAGCTTATGGGTGGGGTTTTTATATTTTGTTATTTTCAGCTATACAACTATCATGAGCACTCCTACACGGTCCCATGTTTTTCTTGTGCACGGTCAATAGATTGAAACTGCCTGAATAATTATCATTTATTATCCAACTACACAAAATAGACTACAAATAACGGGAGAATAGAGTGCAAATATCCTGAGATGTTGTACGGTTATTTGGACTCTGGGTTATTTCGTTCTGTGAAAAAATCCTGTTTAACCAGTCGGCTGCGCGCGCTACGCTTCACTACCCGCTTTGCTTTTCCCGCCTTACGAGAAAAGCACAGAAAGACTTAATAGCAGAAAAAAAAAAAAAAAAAAAAAAAACAGTTGGATAATAAATAACTTACCAGACGTTTTCGGGTGTGTAGTGTCGCTGTGTATTTTTACTCGCTGTTTGTATTTCGACTCGCCCTGCCGGCTCGTCAAAATACGGCACAACTCGTAAAAATACTCAGCAATACTTAACACCCGAAAACGTTTAATACGATAGATATATCTGATTGAAGAGGCAGGAGTCACAATCGTCTCATCGTTTCCTTTTTCAACCCTTTCACTCCCAGATCTCGTTTGTAACTCTCACTGTCTGCTATATAATTCTTATGTTAGTTCAGAGAATTTGGTATTGGATCAACTAATGACCCCCTACACGAGGATCTGCTTGATATTGTATCAATATCATGATGAAAAATTCTGTCTTGGTCACTCATGGAAGAAATGTCAAATGGTTCAATCTCAGTGCGATTCAAGTGAGGATAAAAGCGTTTACTTTCGGAAAAATAAAACTTCAATTTAATTATATTACGGCCAGAAGCATGTTGCACGTCTTTTTGTTACTTCTTTCATACAACATCTAACACCTTTTTAATGACACAAAAGAAAAAAATAATTAATACAGAACTGAATAAAAACAGTAAGTTATCTTTGTTTCATGGTGGTTCACAAATAAGACGCTCGAAAATTTTTCCGTACTTGTGCAGTGTTCATTCGCTACTGGCTATTTCTCCAATATTGACAGTCAGTCACTGAGTTGTGGTTAACAGACTTCCACTAACCAACTGAACTGAAGACCTTAGAAGGTTTCCTCACAGTTCTACGGTGGGACTGGAACATAGTCTGCTGGCTGGAATTGACTGCAACGAAGAGCCAACTTGATGTGATGGCGGAAGTGTGCACTATGAAGGGCGTAAATAAATGGATTCATGGCTGAGTTGAGGCCCACAAGCAGTACTGTGCTGATGTATGACGGCGAATCATAATCGTAAATCGACTCAAACGGTTGCAACACGTATAGCACCAAATTTGGCAACCGACAGACTCCATACACTATAGTTACGACTATGGCCATTTTGGTCACTTTCCGAATAGCTCGGATTCGCACCTGGTCCGAGATTAAAGTAGCACGGACACGTCGTCCTTTCCAGAGCTTACGTAGAATCCTAAAGTAAACAAATCCAATAATTGCCATCGGAATTAAACCAAACCCGAACAGACACCCAAGTGTGTACGCTTCCCGCAATTTTTCGTGATTTGACCAGAGTTCAGGGCAATGTATTTTTTCATCGCTATGCCTCACCACGAAAAACAAAGGCAAGTTGAAAATAATTGCATAGAGCCAGCCAGTGAGAATTGAAACTGCCAATCGTTGATTAGTAGGGCGCCAGCGTTTGTCGAGGGGGTAGATAACCGCAAAATAGCGCTCAAAGGACAACACGACCAATGAAGAAGTGGATGCTGCCATTCCAACCCAAATCAAGTTACCGCCAGTTAGCCATATACAGAGATAGTCACCTGTGTTACCATGAGGGTGTCGAAAAGCCCAATTTACCACGTAATCTGGAATGATGAATAGCGCTATCATCATATCTGAAACAGCTAAGTTGACGAGAAGGTAATTGACCGGTGCTCGCATCCCACGGAATCGGAAGACAACAAGGCAGACTAATCCGTTTCCAAGGAGATTTACTAAGACAACCGCAGAGAAAGAAATGGCGAAGCCCAGATCTGCAGCAGATAGAGTCGAGTTCATGCTTCAATGTAGTTATCGATTCAGAAACATAAGGCGAGCTTTTTGCCTGTAAAAGTGAAATTAATTTGGTAAACACACACGCATGTCAAAGATCGGCGGTGAATAATGCTAGAGCTGGTGTTACAAATTTCAATTTCCCGACGAAATTGAAAGCAAGTTCCTTTCATCAAACAAGTTTTCTCCGTTATCTTAAGGCAAAAGAGGTTGATAGTATTTAAATACGCGAAACCAACCACTTTGGTTCGAGAAAGTGGAATCCTTACACGTTTCTCATCTAACAATATCTTAAACTGTTTATTGAGCAATGGCGTCAAGAGCAATCGACAGCACACGAACATTTCTAACCTGAAATGCTATCGTGTGTCTGAAAGTTCGTAAAACAACACCTTACCGTAGTTTAAAGAGGGAACATCAACACTTTCATATGCAGAGTAATAGCTTTATAAACCTTTGATTGAAATAGCGATCATGTTATAACTTAATTGTGGATGCCAATATTGATATTCCTCGTAAGAAACTACTGTGACGCAATATAAAATTAAGCGGATAAACCGAGCAGTTCCCATCGTAATCTACAACGAGAGTAATCAGAAAACCTAGAAAAATTTCTTGGAGCTGTGTTATCTGAGGGATTGCCGACAGATTACGCCAATAAGAAGGCGGCTAATGAATTACTCCCTAAGGTGGGTTACCTTGAATCTGAGTGATGACTCCTTGTTGTTTTCTTCTTCTGCAGGAAGACTTACCAACAGAATAGTCTTTTTGAAAGACGAAGACGGCGAAAAAAGCATAGAATATCACCAATGAGTCTCATACTTGCATAATGTGTGCTGAAATCAGCTGAATCAACTGTTCAAAGTACGATTGCTGTAAGCGACATTTCGAATTCCAGACAGGAACAGCGTGACGTTCTGAAAGTGACGTCACAAGGCCATCATGTTGCGCAAAGCCTTTATACTCAGAGGTGAATCATTTGTCACGCAAAACATCGAAGACTTTTGCACGTCAAATCGAATAGTTGAGGGAAAATACCGTGCATCATCCGTGTCAGATGTTGGCTCAGCTTCACTGACCAGTTCCTGAGAGAGGACTTGAACAAAGGTAACTTAATTTCACTTCCTTCAGTCTTACTACATAAAATACTCACGAGAAACGCGAAACGCAATCTAGGAATAGAAATCCAAAAATCCCTTTATTTACATAACACAACTGACATGTAAATTTCGTTTCTCTCGAAAGCATGGTGTGAATCTTCCCCGCTCATTTCAGCATTCTTCATGATTCTGGTCACGTACGAGATCATTGTCATGTCACGCAACACACGAACGGTTTATCTTCTTCCAGAGAGAGGACGTTACTTGGTGTTTTCTACAGATCTCCTGTCGATACCGTTTGAAAAATGCCAAAAAAGGCTATCTAGTTGATTTTTGACGTCACGGATTACCGCAGGCACGCCATTACTGGTCCTTTGGCCCTTGCTTTGTAAGTTTCCTTAATTGGAACTTAATAACGTACACAAAGCTCTTTTTGCCATATTGTTTGGCGCTGAACATTACTTAATGAGAGCACGCTCGCAAATTTCCGTAGACGATGTCTTTATAGGAAGGTTATTCTTTTGTTTCATACTGAGTTATACAGGAGCTGCACTAAAAATGAGTCATCAAACGTCAGAAAACCACTTATTAAAATCAGCAGGTGGGTTTATAAGTGCAGAGAGGAAATTGTAAACGCCATTTATTTTCTCAAAATGACAGAGCCATCATTGGCTCGATTGTTTTGAAACTTAATCCATGTAAAAAACATGGCAGCAAAAGCCACTGATAAAGTTATTGACTTGGGAAAGTAGCAGACATAATGTGGTGGTAAGAATTTACGCCGTGGAAATGACTCTGACACTGAATGTAGTCGCCGAAACCGGTAATAAACACAACCAATTTGGCGTAATGTGTGTGAATCGAAAAGACGTGTTTATTTTTCATTAAAAAGTCCGAGAGAGCAATTACCTTTGTCAGCGTGAAATCGCCTTCTGATAATCACTGGAAAAGATCCCCAAATGATATGAAAATGTGCAAAATATGGGTCTCATTAATAAAAAATTTAAAATACCAAATTGAAGATAAGCTCAAAGGGTCTTAATTTCGCTCTAAAACATAGAATTATGAATCTCTGTTTAGATACCGGAAAGAAATGGGTAACAGTGGACAGAATCCATATCGTATTTAATTTCTCTCAACGAGAAACGCTGCAGACATGTTTACACGTAACTTCTGCCGAAAAGACGAGTTGATTATGAAATTTTAAGCGCTGATGACTCTGTAATGAAGCAAAAAAAGCAAATTTTATCGTATTCATTCATGATTGACGGTTTTTTTGCCAATTCATTTAAAAGGGTGTCCTGTACGGGTAGCCAGTCATTACTATTCATAGATATTTGTCGAAAGCCCTTGATTTGGTTTCTGACGAGTGTCAGAAATTTTGTCGAGCAGTTAAGTAATTTGCACAAAAAAGAATTAAAAAATAAACAAGTTAAGCAAACTTGGTAAAGTAGCTTTCATAAAACTCTTAGGGCAACTTTACATGACAATCCCTGAGTTGATCAATTTAACCACAGAGAACAGTGGCGTGGTCTAAGAAAGCGAAAGAAAAAAAACACCAACATTTCAGTTTTTTTTGTAAACAAATGGAATTGCTTCCTGTATTAAATATAGGTATTTATAGCACTAGTTTGTTTAGTGAAATCATCGTCCCACAGAAGTGCACCTTCCTTAAATATTAACACGGGGTATTGTTACAAATCTAATCAGCATATCTACCGGCCAAAACAACTTTTCCACGGCCGGCCTAAACTCGGTGAATTGGTTGCACGTATTTTAAAAAAAAAAAAGAAAAACAAGTCATAGATTTTTCAGCTTCGAGATTTATAATGCTATCTGCCAACGACTTTGCTCTCGTGGTGGCGTTTTCACTACTATCTATCGTCGATTTCGTCGGGAACTTACTGGTTTGTATGATAATTCTTCAGCGAAAGCGGTTCCGATTTCGTCGTTCGACCCTCGATTTTCTTTTCCTTAACTTGGCTGTGGCAGATATCATGGTAGCAGTCTTTGCGATTCCAAGATACGTTCTTAGCCCATTTTTTGTCCATCCTCTTGGCTCTGCCGGAGACCTCTTGTGCCGTTTTATCACCGGTGGAAATCTCATGTGGACCGGAGGTGCCGCATCTGTTTTCACACTTGTCGTCATCGCCTTTGAACGCCGCCATGTTGTCGTCAGACCTCATCTGTTTACCAAGAAGTTGACAATGGCGAAATTGCGAGGTTTGGTCATATTATCTTGGGCCTCTGCCTCGCTGCTCAATCTGCCGTTGTTTTTTATCATGTCCTACGATAGCGAAACTAATTTCTGCATAGAAAATTGGCCAAACCCTTTGCTTCCAAAACTATATGGCATAGTTTGGTTTTGTGTCGTCGGAGCATCGCCGGTCATTTTCATGGCTATTGTATACTCGAAAATTGTTCACCAGCTGTGGCTGAAGAAATCCACATCATCAAGGTTTAATAGAAGAGCCATTCTTATGTCAAAGAAAGTCACTAAAATGGCCATAACATTGACAGTTATTTATTCAGTATGTTGGCTGCCGAATCTAGTTCTGTACATCCTGGCATTTAACATTTCTGACGCTGTGTACGGTTCGCCTTTGTACAGATGGACAGTGGTTTTGACTTGTTTGAACTCTACAGTGAATCCTTTTGTGTATACACTTCAAAGTAGACGTTTTAGACAGTCAATAAGGCGGGCTCTGACGTGTAAATAAGCCAGAACGGCGAACTCAATTATAACTCGCCCACATTTACTTGGAAATTTCTAACATTGCTGTTTTCACTTGTGAGAAACGATTACCCATGCCTTTTTTTTTTTCGAAAACTGAGTCAACCAGCTGTCGTATTGTACAGGTCTTGCATTGTTAACCAAAAAAAAAATGATCTCCAGATTAGTGAACGGGATATTGAGCGTTCCTGTTGCATTCATATAACTCTTGCTAATATGCTTGTTTCATTTAATCTAATGCAATCGTCTGAGGTTTTAGGGGCATACGGATAACGATCGAAGATGAAGTTTTGTAATATCCTTTAAGCCGGTTTAAGTAAAAAAAAATGCAGTTCTAACGATTATTTTCCACAAAACTGCTTACTGATTTTTCACTTTTCAGTTTTTTTTCTATACTATACTGAGTAATGCGGAGATTACTTTTCTATAAGCTGATGCAAAGACTATTATTTACTTCTTTTTCCTCGTCAGCTTACTTAAAAATGTCAGGATAATCCCGGTTAGAAGTTATCAGTTGTTGTTTTATCATTTCAGTTTTGACAAACGTAGAAAAATAATGAAACTGTTGAAAACAGTAGAGGATATTTCATCTTATAAGACGCTTAAAAAACCATTTTAAATTGTATATTCAATATGAATGAGCAGGGGAGAGTATTTAGAAACGCCTGTTCATCTGGAGCAAATAATCTCCGAAATGAAGTCCATTTATTCTGAATCGTAACAATGACGATTTCAAGCACTTGTCTGGCTCTATACGTGAGAAACAAGTTGATCATCTTGAGTATACGTCATACGTAGAGACTAATTTTTTGTTAGATACACCTGCTTCTTTTTTTTCGTAATTTAGTAGATCACGTTTGGCAAGAGGAATTGATAGTGCTGTTAATACGCTAGATGATGAAAACCTGATTTTTCAGAGATATCACCTCAGGATATACGCTAGTAAAATATAATGAATGTTGACAGTATTCATGATATATGGCCCCATTATCAACAAGTTAGGGTGTGACAGAGATTGATTCGATATCTTGTAAGTTCAAAGAGAATGTTATATAAATGATCCCTGTTACCAGAAAATGGATTTAACTTTGGATCCAATTTGATCTGAATTTGAATGGTGGTCAAATCAAAGAGAATTTCTGAAAAAGCTCAAACATCATGCTTAAAAACCCGTGTGCCATGACTAGATTGTTATCCGCTTGCATTAAAAATGCAAACCGTATTTGCATCACGCTCGGTGAATTATGTAAGTCTTTTAGTGAATTTCGTTTTTTATGCGTATCCGTAACTCAGAACTAAAGATACTGAACAAGGATGAAGTTTACAGACAACGGGTAAGCTACAATTTCCTTAAAACAGAAGAGTAGATTGATTTCATTATGATATTGAATATATACCATACGTTCTATTAATAATACCATAGGACATTCACTCTCTTTCATGATGCGTCCATATATGTTCTTCATTTATGCTCCATGTGAGCGAAAAATTTCCTCCTTTCATTCCCGGAATAAACTGTCGGACGCACGTAGTTTTTAGCTTTTAATGAAGAGTTCTTAAGTTTTAATTTGTCACTAGGTTAAGTTGGGTATTCTCTGCGAAATGCACGAACATAATATATGGCCACAAGCAGATCCGCAAATTCAAAAATAGTCATGAGACTTCCTCCGAGGAAGAGACCCATATTGCCTCCAATTTCACCTGAAGTGTAATAGATATAAGCTTTATGAATAGACTTGCAATAACATAGATTAATAAACATGATAAATTCAAACACATTACTAAATGGTTAGATGGGTGAATATCTGACAAAATGAACAGATAATTATGATAGTTATTAATTTCGGTCTGTTACGAACTATAATACAGTAAGTTTATTTATTTATCTTTGATTAAATTCTTCAAACCAATCTTTGAGGCTGAAGTTCGGGGTGCAGTCACTGGGCATGTAAAGCGAGTAAAGCTTTTCATACGCAGCCTAACTAAGTGTATCAACAACTGTTTGTCGTAAAGAGCAAATATAATGGAACATCACGAAAATTAGTAGGTGAACACGAAGCCTCAATAGATTGAACCAAGTCGCACGAGCTTCTTTGAACAAGCTCCTGCATTAATAAGAAGAGAAGGAAAATTGAACCAAGTGAGGCCGCTTACCAAACAGAGCCTCAATTCCAAACGCAACAGTCTGCTCATGTAATTCATAGCTGAGTGATTTGTAACCAATCTGAAGAAAAACTGTGTTTTCCCTAAGAAAAAAAAAATACTGTACAGCTTATATCAAATATGTTAATAAAGTAGTGGATCGCGCGTCTCCTGGGGGTGGAAAGCAAAAGACCACGGTCGGAACTTGCTAATTTAAACTTATCACCCTATCTAGTACACAAAGCTACAGCATTTTCGCACCAGTTGGCCCTGTTTGTTCAAAATCCTATCCTTTAATCAAAGGTTGTAGCTCTGAAAACGCGCACGCCTCTGTCACAATAACAACATGAAAAGCTTACGCCACCGGTGACCTGAAAGTCACTCACCCTTCCCGCGTTTAATACAGGCGATCGTTAAGTTCTTATTGGGTCGTCATGAAATTACTTTGTTGTGGAGCTCTAAAACTGAGAGTCTGGATAACGGTGGCGATAAAAATAATAATAAACTCGAGTTGCTTACCTTAAGTACTTCAATGTGCTTCCGTCTCCATTGGGCTGGAGCAAATTTGCTGTTCCAGCATCCGGGAACTTAGAGTAATACACCTCTGTAGTGTATCTCACTTCTTTACAAGGATTAGGACAATCACATTTTGTTGCATCAAGTTCGCCTGGCAAAGTGAAAAAGAAATACATACATCATATGCATTTCTGCTCAATATGCCTCGAAAGCCAGCTCATGGAGCACTTGGTGGTGTTCCGTTGTAGTTAAGACTTACTTCTACGACTTCAACGCCAGGATCAAATATCGATGGTGAGGTGAAAAATCCTCCCTTGCCCGCACATATTCTCGTATTTCCCATGATAAAATGAAAAGACTTACACACGACTCTAAACAAAGGTCGAAAAAGGAGGAAGCGCACTCCACTTACTTGTGACGTCTTGGATACAATTTGCATCATATTTGGCGCATGGTCTGACGGTTGATGCTGAAAAAAAAAGACATGAAAATTGAGCTAAAATACTTAAAATGTCTCCATTCTTTTCCCAATCCCTCCTACTCTTCCCCTTTCGCTCGAAACGGTTTCAACGTATCACTGAAATGCAAGACACTTCCATAGTTATAAGGAAACCATCGTAATTCTGTCTATAAGCAGTGTATTCCATTTGGGGATTAATTTGAAGTGTGTATGAAGAGAGCGTGATCCGATTTCTGCAGGCTAGAGAGGTGGTTTCAAGGGAAAGCTTTAAGACTAAGAGCACAAAAATTTCAATAAACAAACAAAAGAAAGGAGCAAGGCAGGTGAAAAACGGAAGTTAAAATCTTAATGAAAGTTTGCTCACCTGAATATGTTGCAAAACGGCACTGGCAGTTTTCGATGATGGCTTCTTGGAGACATTCAAACTGGCATCCCGTTATCGTATAATTACTTATCGTTTTCAATTTCTTGTTTTCGCATTTCGTTTCGTACGGCTCCTTAAGGTTGACAATCTGAAAAAGAACCAGGAAAGAAAGAAAAAAGTAAAGAGCCAATCAAAAAATAGATTTCACAATCTACTCATTGGAGTTGTTTTGGGTTCAGTGCCTCCCTTATTTCGTGTGGATAGCCATCCAGTTTACCTCATCCAATTAAGATTTTATAGAGTAATTTTCAATTGAGTATCCAAATTAATCTGAGATTACATTGGTTTTGCCTTGCTTCGCTCTGTAATTGGTCCAGAAAGCTCGCAACATTCTCCAAACCGATCAGTTGCAAAACTGAAACCAATCACAACTTAGTCGCCCGTATTTTCCCGCGCTTTAGGCATTTTGGCTCTTAAAGGTATTTTCCTTTCTTCCTATTGGCGAACAGCACTCTAAAATAACTTAGATTCATGCAACTCCTGTCGTCGTCATCATTATCGTTGTCTTTATTGTTGTCATGAATTTATCTGGACCCACCCTTTTCTGATGTAAAATTATTGTTGCCATTGATCCTGGTGAAACATTGATGCCGTCCAAAGGATTAATAAATTCTCCTTGCTGATGAATCACGACGCTGAATCCCTCTGAAAATCTTGCAAATGCATAGTCATCAATTTGTGCGTCTAACAAAATGTTCAAACCGCCTACAGGGCCTCCAATTTCAGCCTTTTTAATGTTCTCCGGACCCGCGTTGAAAGTATGACACAAACCCCAATCAGTGACGGTTGGTGTAAAATCATCTGTGCCACATTGTTTTTTAACTTCGCCGTTAAAAAAACAAACCTCAGGCACAAGCATTTCTTGAACACTCTGTCCGTACTTTTTGTAAAATCTAACAGTATCAAAAAACTCTCCAGAAGTATTTTGAGCAGCAATTAGGCTTTGAGCGAACGGTATTGTGCAGTTTGGCACGAGATTTCCTCCGTCGAATATCAGGAAACTTAAGCAGCAGCAACTCATGGCTGCTCCACATGGCACCCCGTTACGCGCCGACTCAGTAACTGCACATACGCTGTCGTTTAAACCATATTTGGCAAAATTGGCGTCAACATCTAAGGCGTATATCTTTTTTTTGCTGACAGAATTGAGGGGACAAATTGAGACAGCTGGGAAATCCATTGCATTCACGTATCTCTGAGTAATGACGGTGTTAATTGGGTGTTTGACGTATTTCTGCAGTGACTTGTACACAGTGAAACAGAAATATGACGAGAACATTAAAAGAATGAGCAACCAACCAACCCGAGCCCATAGAGGGCGTCTCCAGAAGACATAGCGAATTCCATGCAGCGAAGTATTATTCACAAAATCAGACCATATTTCATAATTCGATGGTAACTTTTTGTTGTCGGCTTCGTCGTGAGAGGCAGTACGTGATTCCTTTGGCTCGAACGGTATCATTCGCTTGAGTTCAAGGCCACTTTGAAGTTCACGGTTCGGAAGATATAGATCACGTTCAGCCGGCACAGTGCCTGGGAGCGGGAAGTTGTCTTCAGCCACAGGTACCCTTCGTGCCATAGTGCCTATATAACAACACCAAAAACAAAAAATAACAAAATATTTATTTATTTTTAATTCTCCTGTGAGGAAAGAGCTCTCAGCCGTCGACTTTAACCTGTTGCCAACATTGTTAATCTCTCTGAATTTGTTTATTATTACTTTAAATCTTTATTTTTTTTTTAACACAAGTTTCCTAACAAACTAAAAAGGGGCGAAGTATCCTGCATTTAAAAAAGCCTGGTGAGGCAGCTTGCGCAAGAGCTAGCATAGTTAGAATTATGTCAGCGATAAAGCCAAATTACATGCACAACTAATGCCCTTACACAATATATTCTGTTGATTCATCCAAATCTACCTGCCGTGATAAATATTTCATATAAGACAAAATTTAAGAACACGATGCTAGATATTCAGAGGTCATCGCCCGAAGTGGCGATTGGCGCTTAAACAAATGAAAATTTCATTTGAAAACTTAATTCAATGTTTAAAAATTTTGCGAGGTCGTTGGCTTAGTTAATTTCTATTTGCACTACTCAGTATACCATATAGAGGCAGGTAGTTCTATCTAAATTATGCATCGACTTTAAAAGAGATAAGCGAAAGATCTTGTTTGTTTTCTAGCAGTCTGTCAGTTTGCTGCGTTGTAATTATGATCTTTTATAGCTTAGGTTTGGAAACGTGAAATAAAGTTGAAAGTTAATCCACTCTCAAGGCGTATGTCCATTCATGCTTGACGTTGTTGTTGTTGTTGACTTCTGTTATAGCTTTGGGTAATGAATTTATGTCACGCAAAATGATTGATTACTTTTTACATAAAAATTGCAGCTGGGGAAAATACAGTAGTTCTCGGGTATATTTTAATGTCAAGCATTTCTGATAGAACAAGCTTTTATTTCCCTATAATCACAATATATTGGTAAAAGCAAGGATCTTTAAAATCGTTTAATTGATTTCTAGTCAACTGTGATCAATCAAATGTTGCTATCATCAACGACACGATTTCACGACGTACATCCTTTGCCACAACCGCTCACGACACCCTTAACAAACGAGAATTCGTGACTCAGTCGAAATGGTTAGTTTTCTTTTTTTATAAAGGAAACTGACACAATTACACGAATCGTACAATCACGATATTGAGCACGTCAATTGCTCATGGCTATGAAGCAAGAAAATATCTTACCTGATCAGTCACTGCTGGCTTCAGTTGCTCGTGATGGTAAAGAAGATCGAGATTTCGCACTCAAAATTGTCAGGGCAACACGAAAGTTCCGTTAAGAACCCTTAAAAAATGCTCGCTGAACTCTACAAAGGCTCAGGTGGGATATTTCAGACACGAGTCATGAGTAGATGACGCTCCCTCTGTTTGGTTACGTCAGTTTGGGGGTTGACGTATGTTATTGTGCTGATAATCACTTATGCATACATTATCTTTGTTCTAGTCAACAGTATTCCGTAGCATTTCCGGTCTGGATATTATCACCGCATTTATTTCTCAGTTTAGTTTGCTTTCCCATGTCACGTTTAAGAACTGCATGAAGATGATGTGCTTATACAGAGTACGTTCTGTTTTCTTCTCTGAGTAACCTGTTTATGAGGAACTCCTATCAACACGTATTCGATTGTGGGTCATATGGGATAAAGCTGACCTAATTTTGATATAAACTTTTCATATTGAAACACCCTCTGAAGAAAAAAAAACGTGTTTGCTGTGATGAATTAAAAAAGACACGCGAACATTCCTATGTTGTCATTTTTTAATACTCTTGAAAACGAAAACAATACAATCAATAGAGCTGATAAAATTGTAACAGAATGCACGCGCATACTTGATGTTTCATCTGAATCGTACGATCAAAACAATCGAGAAAACTCCTCGAATGGAAACCATAAGGAAATGTTTTGATATCTATAGAAGTTCGCGGGCATGACCGCCAAAGTCCGATGGCGCTCTAAGTCTCATAATTGACATATCTCCAAAGATCTCGCTAACTTTCTCTTTGAAATTGAAATGCCTCTTGTCCGTGGTTCAACATAAAAATGTCGCAATATCCACCCCTCTGATTGTGACTTAAAGTAGGCAAGCGATATGGGTCCTTTCCTATTTTTTTGCAAGTGGCACGCGATTTTCAGCGAATACTTTATCCTAGTCTCAACATTTGCATCCTCCTTTCTCGTGTCCAGGCAACTCAGGTTACATCATAAGTAAGAAATGAAGGCGGCCCAAGCCTAAGGACACTCTTGGTAGCCTGCGATAAAAAATGTTCTTCTTGATATAAATCGGCTTTTGTTCATTGAGAGGAAAACATACCGTAACGCTTCATATGCGTTTCTCCACTCTCTGGATTGAAGCTTTTGCTTGGAAGCTTGACATACATGCTGGTTGAGAATTCGAGATTTTATGTAACACTTGTAATTATGCATCGAAGAGCGACTTTCATCTGCGAAATTCCTCTGAATTGTGTCCGTATTGAAGCATGCTAACTCCTTGTATGTACTCAAAACTGGTTTTTCGTTTGGCTTTTTGGTTGTCTTCTGATTCAAAAAAACCGCCCGGTGGCGACGAGTTTTTTTCGGGAACTTGATCGTATTTTGAAGAGTACCCCATGACAGAAGTAAGGTTACCATCAAAGTCGTCGCAATTTCCTTTAGGATTGGCCGACATGCAGATAGACTTGCTAATTTGACTTATATAGGCCGAGTCTGGTTTTCGACCCTGAGAATTATCCGCAATTTCTGGATCATAGAGAAACGGCTCGCTATGAAAAATTCCATCGGTTGTATCACTTCTGCTTTCTGTCCTTAACGTTTCGTTGGTTAATTTGGGGTTATGAAAGAGCTCTTGGTCCAGGACTATCTCTGGCTGGGAGTCAAGAGCCAACGTTGAATTGATCTGTCTAATTCTCTTCAACCATTCCATGGAACGTTTGTCTTTTTCCCAGCGCAACTTTTGAACTTTTGGCATACGCGGTTTTGTTGCTAAGGAGATAAACCCTGTTGAACCAGGTCGTATTTGGCAATGATCATTTTGGACCACTTGAACTATAGGAGATAGCCTTTCCATAAGGACAAGTCTTTGGTGCCTTATCTTGTTCCGGCTCCTTTTCTACTCCTTATTTACCTGAATGCTATTAGTTTTCACAATCAACAACCTGCAAAACAAAGATAGACACGCATGCGTGGTTGGTTAAAACGACTACTCTAACTGAAAAATATAATTTTACTGTAAGTCGTGTGTGTCTGTAAATTATCACGCACCATTTGATTGGACAAACCAGTGATGTTTGTGTGTTCATGTGAAAGCTTAGCTGCTCCAGTGACGTATTAATGATTGCAAATTTTTTTGTCGTAATAACATATTAAATTCTGAAGCATTTTTCCCTTTGAAAACGCCGAACAAAGGGCTTAAAAAGTCAGTTTTCTAGGTTTTCACTAGATTATGGAATGTGAAAGAGATGTGTGATTAATATGTTCAAATAAGAATGTTTACTGGAAGTTCAGGAAAACGGATGATCGTTCAAACCGGTACCGAGTGCTATTTCTAGCGAGCGCCAGCTAATATTCGAAAGTTTCGAAAGTGATTAAGATCCAGTGGCTTTTTGTTATCATCCCTTGAAATATGAATCTACACTGGACCGTCTTATTGCGTAGCAGAATTAGTTACTTTCCCCAAAATAAATGCAGATTCCGAGATTTTCTGAACACCGTTTCATGCTGTCAACACATCTAGTTTAGATAACTATGCTGCGGTTCTAACCGCGACCGGAGAGTCAAAAAGTTGATAGCGTAGTGATTTCGTCAGTGAAAGCGTAGTTCTGAAAAGGATTGTTGCCCTTGGAATAATAACTAACAGCCTGAGCGGAAGTCATCCCCAGATTTAAGGAGTTATTCGTCAGTGGTAGAGCATTATAAACCGTGCTCGTGAAACACTCGACTGAATGAATAATTATTCATTTGACTAAAATAAACAAACTTGCGTGTTTGAAAAACAGATGACCCCATCTTTCAATCATTTTCGAAGACATTAAATACACAGACAGAATTTATTCAAGTTTTTCATTCAAATGACACTCTATACTGTGCCTAAGTTTCAAGGAGGTTAATGTATCCGTACTTAGATCAGCAGAACAGTTTTTTTTTTTTCGAAAACGTTAGCGAAAGAGTTGAAACGATGAACGAAACGATTTCTTCAAAATATACTTAGAAACAGACAACCTAAATGATGATCGTGGAGATCAATCTATCAAAACACTATAAAGATCGGTCCACTTACCACTCAGATGAAAACCAGTCGAACCAGAGCAACTTTCGATTTGTTGTTAAAACTCAACACGTCCTGAATAGAGTTTAAGGTATCAGATTTGTTATTAGTGTTGATCAATGTTTTAAACAAGGTTTGTTGTACGACTTTGCAGTGGAATCCTTTTGACGCGTCAGTGATTTATTTTTAAATTTCTGAATTTTTTGAATGTACTTACGATATCATAACAAAAGAAAAAATAAATTAGAATTAATAGCGATCGTTAAGTTCTGCCTGTCTTCTAGTTACCCCCCTGAGGCGTTCAATCGCACGTCATGCAATCGTGATTTTTTAATTCAAATAAATGTCACCATATGTACAAGAATTGAGAGCTTAGCTTTGTTGCGAATGACAGACGAAATCCCAGATAGGTTATTGTGAAAATTCCAATGTTAGTTGTCTATTTTAAAGAATTGCATTTACGATGATTTTCATATAACCTAAATAAAGATGGCGGCAGTTCCACTCATTGATGATTAAACGATGGTTAGTGCTGTCATTTAAAATTCATGACTGTTTCTGCATGTCAAAGGTTCTTTTGTCTGACTGTTAATTTACCTCCAATATTCGCCTCTATCGCCACTTTACGTAGAGGCTTAATCATAACAAAAACTGAGAAAAAAAGAAGGAAAATGAAGAAATGAAACAAAAATAAATAACTTTAAAGATGTAGTGTAATGCCAACTAGAGGTATCGATGAAAGTACCAAAGGTTAACTTATTTGTTTGTTGGGCAATTGAAGTAGACTTTAAGAGCCGGTTATCCTAAATTGGACCGCCTTTTTAGGATTTCAATAGACTTTCAGATTTCTTAATAAAAGCGGTTTTGTAATAAGTATTATTGCAATGTTAGTTGTAAGTGTGCTAGACACTGAACACAAAAGTTAGATAAAAAGTTTGACTAAACAAGAGATAATTTACGACGCGGTAAAACTAAACAAAGGCTAAACCTTATCTACGCCTTAACCATGTCGCGTGCCCGCTCACTGATACGAACAATAGGAAGCAAACACTGTGGTTTTCAAAGTGAGAGGCCAATACTTTCACTTCGTTGACAGAAGAGTTACGCATTTTTCCTGTCTTAAGGATGGCAATATAAGTAATTTGTTGGCTCGTTTATAGCAGAGTCATCATGAAACGTCAAGAAAGTAATTAAGAAGCATGGATTTCAATATTGATACAAACTTGTGTCGGTCAACACAATGGAGCTTATTTTGTGTTATGTAGAAATATCAATTCCAGTTCAGAATTGTGATACCCAACCAGTAAAAACTGAGATTGAAGTCAAATTTTGATCTTGTTTTTAAACATACCATGGTTCTGATCATATGTGCTAAATATTTCCCTTTCTCGTGCCCAGCTCTGTTTGAATCACATAAGGAAAAGGGAAAAAAAACAATCAAAATGACTGAGTACTCTTCCGCCTTCTAAGTTTATCGATAAGTAACGCATATGAAGGTTGTTAGTTTTTACAATCAATAATCCACAAAACAAATGAAAAAACGCATGCGTGGTTGGTTAACGACTACTCTAACTGGAAAATATGGAAAATATAATGTTATTGTATTTCGTGTGTGCCTATAGTTAAAACGCGCCATTTGATTGGACAAATTAGTGATGTTTGTGTGTTCATGTGAAGCTGATCCTCTCCTGTGACGTATTAATCATTTCCCTTTCTTGTGTCCACCACTGTTTGCATAATAAAAGAAAAAGGAAAAAAAAAACAATAATCGAAAGGACTGAGCACTCTACTGCCTTCTAAGTTTTTTATCGACGAATAACCGTCGGCATATGATGGATATTTTTAACTTGAAATCCTCGGTGAAACCAGCAGCCGGCGCTGGTACTAGAACGAAATGTTTGTATTATACCATCAACTATTATCAAAAAAATTACAATCTCTTACTATTGTAGATGTGAACATGTGAACAAATCAGTACAATATTAAACCTTAACCAGCTAGAAGTTATATAATATAACACCACACTAATGAAAATTCTAACGAAGGCGAATACACGAAACTGTGGATCAGTTGAGAGAATTTCCAACCAGATATTTGGAGTCAAGAGATTTAATTTTCCCGATTAAAAATCACTGTGCTGTAAAGAGAATTGAAACAGGGAAATTTTAGTTCATGAGGGCAAACATATCTCTTGACGCAACTACACAAAGCATTCCGTCATCGAAGACCTATGAAAGAAGACAGAAAGAACTCTGTAGGTCTTCCTTTCCTGATATGAACCCTGGGAGCTTTGATGCGCTTCCAATTTATTGAATCTGTGAAAGATTTTGGTGGTCTATAACAGACTTGAGTTTCATCATTTGATTTAGAACTGACGTAAAAGTTAAGGATTTAACCAGGAGGGGAAGGGTGGGGATCCAATCAGTAACAGATATGTCAAAAAAGTTTAGTCATAACAATGGATCAACTTGACAGGTCCACAGTTGTCGTACTTCAGTGATTTGTTCGTTAACCTACAGTCAAAACAGCAGACAAACGCCATTCAATGGTTGTATTTCCAGGAATTTGACAAATTTACTTTAGGACAATGTCTTCATTTGCTTATTCACGATCTGTTTAGGTGAACAATTAATTTAATTGATTGAATGCAATCAAGCATTACATCCAGAAGCTTCTGTCTCTTACAAGGCCGCGAATGCTGTTAGTTGCTGAACATATTTCTGAGTCGCCATTTCGTTCAATATTAATCAAAGCTAAGCACGATTAACACCGTTTATATCAATTTCCGTTTCATCCAATCCTTGCTCGAGTGTACTACAGATACTTATGACTGTGTATCACCTTCCGTGCAATTTCGTTTGCCCTCTGTAATCCTTGGTTATGTTATTCCATTTAACAAACAGATATACGTTGAATCAGGTTTCCGCCTGTTGGTATCTTCAATATTCAGGGACTTCACCGATGAAGGTCGATTTAAGCTTGAAATTTTAGCTCTTTCTTTTAACTCTGTTAAAGCAGATTGCCCCCTGAGACCATCAAGGCTTTGACTTTTACGACCACTTTTGAACTGTCTGCTTGTGTATTGCGTTGTAGAGATTTGCATGTCTTTGGTGTTAATCTTGATTTGATTTATTCCGGGTTTAATGGCAAATACAGATGTTTTAACGAGGCTCATTCGCTTCAGCCACTCTTGAGAAATACTGCTCTCTGTCCAGGACACCTTTTGGACTGTTGGAACTGTTGGTTTGGATGCCGTTTCCTGGCCGCCATATGATTCCGTTTCTTCCACGATCCTCGGAAGCCCTGGATTAAAACACTTTGCCATTCTTGTTAGCTTTCATTCCCCAGTGTTCGTTCAAACTCCAAGCGAAGTTAAGAAGTTGTTCATTCTAGCATCAGTATTCAGCAGTCCTTATCCAGCAGGTCACTAGCTATTTGAACCAAAAAGAAATCCTGAATATCTTTTCTTCGTTTGGAGATAAAGATTTTGACGACTAAAGTCCAAATGAATTTCCTTTCAGACAATCAGTCAATAATTAACGAAAGCTACTATTGCTATGTCTAACTTGCTATGTCATATTGTGAAAAAGTCGTTGAAAAATAAACTTAAACGGCAAAAATACCGTGGAAAATCTTATCATTAATTAATTAGAATATCCAAGCAAAGATGGAACAAAGATTTTCCATAAAACCCATGCTAACAAATTGGGTGTAAAATTAACTTTTAAAAGTGTAATCAAAGATTAACCATTTAGCAATTGATTATCGCTTATTTTCTGGCCACCAGGTCAGAGACAGGTTATTAACTGTAGACACCGATTTATATTCATTAGTATCATTAGATAGGTAAACTGTCGGACTCAATGTTATTTATTTTCATACAGGTGAAGTGCTATGTCAGCCATCTATGAATTATACAATAATGCGAGTATCCTACAGTTAGTGTCGATTTCTGTCTGATCAGTTTGTATCGCGTAGTTATTCAGTTACATCTGAGAATAGGACAGCCTACAAAAAAACAAACAAGGCAGTAAACAAACCTCTCTGTTAACGAAGAGAAAAATCATAAAGAAACGACGATTTCAGGACAGGCTTTACTGGTTTTCCATCGCCGTAGTTTTTTGGCTTGGTAACTGTTTATATATCTGGATTAACAACCAAGAGAGAGTTTTGGTTTTGTACGGTTGCCAGAAGCAACCTAAAAAATCTTTCCATCACAATAAGTTTAAGTCGCCTAGTATTGCCAGCGTTTCACTTGACTAACATAATAGAAAGTTCTAAACAATATAATCCCATCAGACTGTTATGACATTATCCTTTTAGAAGCTGATTCCCTTTATTTCACGTCTTACCTCCCGCTGAGTTTTTGAACTGGCGACGTAAGCAGAGTTTTTTTTAAATAATCTGACGTAAGTGGCTGAATACAACATCAAATGTAAGACCTCTGTAAGAGGTTAAGTGTCAGAAAACTTACCACCAAAATTACTGCCTTTCATTTCAACTAGTCTCTTAACAGTACAACCAAAAAGTTGCTGAAAGGTTTGACTCAAATCTTTACATCAGTGTTACTAAACAACAAATGTAATATAATTAACTCCGATATCAATAGCAAACCATTTTAAGCGGTTGTGAGGAACAAAAAGATTTAAGTGTATTATGGTACCGCAAACCCTGCATATATTGTGTACATTCAATGGCTACGTAGACAGAGAGGCTGCACTGAACAAAACCTGCATGAACTTGGGTTTGTATGACGAATTTATTAAATTATTAAAATTTTCCAATTTATTATTAACATTTTGCTCTATACTTACTTTGAGGAATGTGTAATATTTAAGTTCAGTTGTATTTCTTTCTTGATATTCAGCAGCTAGTATTCTATTGAAGTAAAACATGATGAGAGTAACTTCAATAAATTAAAACATTTCTTTTATACGATACCGCAGCATGTAAACAAAATGGATCTCCCGCAATGGCCCCCGACGTAATGCGTATTGGTAGAATTTTGATCATTAACTTTGACAGATAAGTTGCAAGGCAACCAGAGTGAGTAAGATTTCGAAAATTCCCCGTACGGTTTTGAAGACCAACTCCTCAGGATTGAAATTGTGCAAAAGTTTTTTTAATACGGTCAGATTTGATATGCGATTAATTCGCTCCAAAAAAATATCGTCCATTTCGAATTGTCCCGCCCCATTCGGTTTACGATTAGATCAAGCGAAAACGAAATAATTTCTGGCTAATAGTGCATTTCATAATCTTTCTGTTGATATATAGTTTATGGTGGTTATGTTTCAAAAGGCGCATTAATTTTTTTTTTGCGGAGGACACCCGCGAAGGTCTATTGTATCCTTTGAGTCTTTTTGGAGACATATTCACGATTAAGAAAACGAGGAATTCACGGGACCCGTATTTTCTCTTGTCACGAACTATCGATACCTTTTACTAAAGGAAATGTGATTGACTGGATTTGGACATGGTGTTATTATTATTATTACTTTAGTTCTGCCCTTCAATTGATTTTAATAAAGTGGTCGCCCCAAGTTTTCAGATCATTCACTTAAGAATCTCTTGGTCAGTTAGAATCTCTTGATCAGTTAGAATCTCTTGATCAGTTATTACTTGCTATCGTATGCGTCAGCCGGCTGAAACAAATCTAACTTTGGGTCATTTTCAGTATCTGGAACCTTATAACTTATTGCTGAGGTAGACAAACACCTTGGATATAAGAATATATCAGGGTGAAATAACCGAAAACTAGATGTACAAACTATGGTGTGGGAAGTGAGGGGGGTGGGGACTGGGGGTTGCGATTTAGTAAGGAATAAAGGAACTGACAAAATCATACGTAATAAATAATATTTATTTTCATCGCGTAGACTTGAAGTTAATATAATATACAAGAAATAATCAACTTTTGGCTTCTAGTTAAATTTACCTGGGATACACATTTCACAATTACAACTTTAATAGACAGACACAACAGATCGCTATTTCAAAATCTGCGTAGCCTCTCTTTTCAAGTCAAATAAAACATTTTCTTGTGCTGTTTTCAAAGAAATAATTTAACTCAAATAAATTTTCTTTCAATACATGTAGAAAACGAAATTTTCCTTTAAAACTTTTTTTCCTTTTGATTTATTGAATTCTAATTAATTTACAAATAATTCAGAGAAAATTAATGTTGCATGTCAAAATCAATCCTGACTTAGTCACCTCTGTGATTTGAGGTTGATCACTAGCAGATGCTGGATGACTTCTTATGGGCAGAAAGTTTTCACTGCTTGAAAATGGCTCCTTCAATTTCCTAAGGTTTTGGGTTGACTCAACTCAGTCTAATAGCGCTGCAGTCACGAACGACTAGTTTTTTTTTTTTTAACAGATCATCGTTAGGAGCTCGCGCAAAATTAAAGAGATCATTGGTTTAACGAACACATTATTATCTACATCACACCTTTCCCCGTGTTATTGTCCTCTTGTTTCACGCTTCCCTTGTGCACGAGTGGCAGGTAACATTATCTGTATACCACCATGTATCAGTTATGAACTAGCTAGCATCCTTATCTACCGGCCAATCTGTTTAATGTACTCGCAACTGCTCGACAGTTGACGATGAGCGTTGGGGGAAGAGCAGAAAAGCTTTCGTTGAGTAAACATGTTCATTTGAATGCAATTTAGATTTTTACAGTTTTTCGCCTTCTTTAGTTCATGATTCGTTCCCTCTCCATCTATGTGGTGTCCACCAAATTGCGCATGCGTCTGCTTTTGTGTTTCCTGTGTTAATCCGCTGATCAAGGAAATGTACGTTGAATCAGGTTTGCGTACGTCAGAAAGTTGAGGCAAGCTTTCCTTCCTCACAACCTTTACAAAGCGTTCAGATGGTGCAATTCCACGTATTTTAGACGAGTCTTGACGACAAGGAACAAATCCTGCTCTTTTTCTATCACTGCTAGAGTTTAGCGTAGGCAATTTTCCGGAACGATGTGGGCTTTTTGGTGTGCAAATCTCCAAGTGATTCATGGTGGATGTTAGTCTGTTGATCTTGTTCAGCCACTCATCTGATAACTTGTTGTCTGTCCAGTTCAATTTCTTTACCTCAGGAACCCTTGTGTTAATAATCGCTGGTTTTTCCAACTCTAGGTTTTCATCTTCCTCTATCAGGCATGGTAACGGGTTTAGACGCTTCACCATTGGGTATGAATGCGAACGCTGTCGAAAAAATCTGTTTTTTGGCCAGGCCACATTACTGACTTGCTCCACGTATGACCTCGACATGATTGGGAAACAAGGAGAGTCGGCTGTGGCCTTTACAACATATTCCTGTCGGCGAAATGTTAACACTTTCTTTGCCAGTGTATCGTGTTTGGAGCGTTGCTCTTCGTTTAGGACGTTATCTTTATCGATCTCACAAAAGAAAATTTCCATATCTGTGGGTTAAAAAACAAATATCTGTAAGTCACGCATGAGCAATACGCAAAAGTTTTGTAGTAGTCTTATTCAATTCGGAGTATTCTAACGGCCTCGAGTAAGAGAAAGAGAATATTAGATGTGATATTGAAATAAAAGAAACAATATTGATAAAGAATAATGCACTTTTGAGAGGCAAGAACCTGTGCATCCGATAGTGATCTCAGGATATAGCGAGGTCAAAAAACTTGAAATTTTTATCCCGTTAATTGAATTGCTTATATTGAATTCCAAGCTCGCGCACGGTAGCATTTGAGTTTCCTCAGATCACCCTTTGCCCAATTTAACGTGTCGGCATCACAAGTAATTAAACTAAAAAACCGGGTCCTACCAGAAAATGTTTGATTACACACATTTTGATCAACAAGTCCTATTTTTAGGGGTTTTTGCAGCGACACAACGTCAATAATTGACACCAATTGTATTCTTAAACAAAACTGTTTGCTTTGTGTCTTTCAATCTTTTGTAGTTCACTGCATGAAAAGTCGGGAAAACTTATGACAATGAAAGAAAAAGCTAACTAAAGATAATTCATTTTCCCTTCTCGAGAAACATGAAAGTCAAAATATCCTAAGAAATAACTTCCGTTTATCTTCCTTTCTGCTCTCCGGCGTTTTGTTGAGAATTTTCCAAAATATCAAGAGAAAATATTATGTAACTTTTCAGTAATAATAGTCGCCCTAAATTCATTGCGCAGCTACATACTTCTGTCGCATGAGTCTAGCAGAACTTTTGGTTTGATAAACCAGCAAGTAGATACGGTGCTTAACTCGTAAATGTTGTGTAGTTTTTCTTTATTCCAGACAGTTGAAATGCGTTTCACGTTAAAGGAATTTCAAAGCCCACCTCTGTGTTCTTTGTCTGTATATGCCCATGCCCATACCATGCTCCGTTATATTGGTTATAGGCCTCTGACCGAAACTGGCCGTGAGAAGAAATCAGTTTCGGTTCAAAGAAATGAATGGCATCGGACCAAATTTGACAGTTAAAAAAAAAAACGCTCCTGGGGTTTGTCTAGAGATAAATGCATTAATCGTGGCTTTTCTTAATCTTCTAAGCAAAGGTTAGCAATTTTATAGACCTCTTTCGATGGCATCACCTGAGGAAGGGTCGAATCTGCTTATTTCTCAGTGATCCTTAAATCGCGTGATTGGACATAACTCAAAGTGATACCGCAGCCAAAGTAAACATTGAATGTCGTGACAACGAAAATAAACTTAAAAAACAAAACTCTTCACGACAAATGTACTTTTGAGCTTATCTGACCACATACTTACCTGGCTCATCATATTTCTAGCCAAGATCACTGTGTTCGATCTAGCGAATTGTTTAGCTTATCTTTAGAAAAGATTACATAGGTACTAAATAGAGTTTAGTTCTGACTATTTTCTTCAGGGTCCATTGGAGTGTTATCGTTTCGTCAATGAGTCAATCAATGAGTCAATTCATTCATGGATTACCGGATAAGGTGTCAGATCACGCAAAGAAATTGCAATATACCTCAGTAATTGTCGAGGTAGCTTCCTCAAAATGACAAATGTGTGAAAATATCTCATTGATTTAGAGGACGAAATGAAATGCGCAAACGACTTCTCTGCACTATGTTTTCTTGTGTAGCTCAGCATCAGTTGGAAAAAAGTCATTGGAGTGCTAACAATGCAAAGCAGAAGTATAAACAAAAGGGCAAATGTAATTGGAAATTATAACTTGTTTAGTCAAAGTTGGCGGTGAAGACAATATAGACACAATTGTATCGGCAATGCCGTAAATATGGCATTCGGTGAACAATAGCGGAGTGTATTTGCATTTCATAACAACCGCAAACTTTGCATATTGTGTTGATGTTTTTCTTATATGTTTTGAGTCTAAAAAGTGCGGAAGTCGATCGAGGTTTATATCATCAATGGAACCTAAAAGGAATACGTTTAAAAGACTTCAAACTTCTTGAAACGAACGATAGGTTGCATTAACTCAGTAAACTTCTATGTAACCATCACAAATGTTTCAGTACATCGGCAGCTTGGAATTGAGACATCAACGCTTAATTAAAGTTGTAACTGACCTGCCGATTGGCTTTTTCTGAACGCTGCAAGATGACAAAATACTGAATTTTTTGTAAGTTATGTTCTTTGAAATATTTGCTCGTGGTCCTAAACGGTATAAGTCGTTGAGTTATCTGAAACGTGATTTAAAAAAAAGCAAAAGCTCCAAAACGTGCGTTGCGCCTTTCATGTTTACTATTCATCAGGTGATCTGTTCGCAAATGAACGGCGTCTTTTCTTGTTTAATTTATCTAGCTACAGGTCGTTTACCCTCAAGAAAAAAGTGTGATAACGACCATAGTGAAACAAAAGCAGATTTTTTCATGCTAAGCCGGCTACCGGCAACATGGATACCTAGTGTACAAACTGAAAAATATTGTTCAAACGCTCCTGATCTGAAGAGTAATTAAGTCTGTAAATTGGAAACTATGTTTTTTTACCTGAAAGGAATTTTTCCACGCGTATATCAACTGCTTTCACACATTATCGTCGTGACTCGTTCGCTAACTGAAGCTCAAATGAGAGAAGGCTGTGGGGGTAAAGTATCCTAATAGGTAGACTTTGTATGTCACGACACGCGCAGCATACGTGCTGTGGCCCTTGATGGCTATTTCCGATCGAGTTACTCTGCCAAAATGGAGAAACTTCTACTTAATGCCTGCCTACCCCACGCAAAACTCCAAAATTTCGAACTCACCTCACGACAACAGCGGCGTGTCTAAATTTTTTTCCTGTCGCGGTAACCGCTTGCATTATATCTAAATCTACATACTTGTCACCGGAAATTCTTCACTGAGTGGGCTATATATTTAAATGAGCAGATATTTTGGTTTTGTTTGTTTTCAAGACTTCCCGTCTTTCTTGTGCGCACGTTTCAAGTATCCCGGTAGGTGAAATGGACTAAATCTTCATAATTGTTGAATAATGTGTTCCTTTTCAAACGGAGCGTGGCAAAATACATTATTAAAGGTGAAAACATATTATGATACGGATAAATGCAAGAATTTTTTTTCTAGGTGTATGCTATTTGTACAAAAATATCGTATGTTAATGTTCGCCCACGGCTGGTTGAACTTTGCGATAAACTGAAATTGTATTTAGAATTCTGGTTAATTTAGAAAACCCTGCAGACAGCGGGGTACCATATAGGACCACGTAATTGCATATAAGAAGAAAACTACAGGTGCACTTAAAAGATACGAACCCGCAAAATGCTAAAAGATATTTTTAAGGCAAGTTTGAAATCCTTAAAAAAAATTCACTCTCATGGCCTGAAGGCTAACAATTGCGCAAACGAGTAATCGGATTTTGTGGAATATTTCGCACGGCTATGAAGCATATGGCGCCGGCAAATTTTGCCCATCGAAAAAACCGAACATGATAAAATGCAAATAGACGACACCATATTTTTAGCCCGTCCATGCAACTGTTTTCAAGGCTATTTCAATTTTCTTCTTTCGGAACTGCTGTAGCAAATACATTAAATACTTAGTCTCCATAAAATCCCACAGGGATATTGGTGAAACAAATAAAAGTAATAATTTGTATTTTAATTCACGAACCTCAAATTGTCAAACCGACATATTTTAGCGCCATATGGAAAAAAACCTAGACAAAATTAATCCACGAGATAAAATTTCGTTTCGGGAAATTTCTCGAAATGACGAAGTGATATATTAACCAGAGTAAGGTTCTTTTAGGTCGAGGTCTGTCGGCAAGAAATTACTTAGTTCTTTTATCGCGATTATCTGTTCAAAATACATATTATATTCTGTCTAAAAATAAATTATATTTAGGGAAGTGTTGACGCGACTTCAATAGCTAGCGAGAAGTAGAACTAAATCTTCACAAAATGTTTAAGTCAACGATTCAACAGAACTTTAGGACGCAGTAATTGAGGGTTTAAAAGCAAAATCAGCGGTCGAGTTTCACGCGCACGTAGACTTTTCAGGAAAAGAGATTTATGGGTTAATGCTAAGGTAATTCAAGACTTTTCGTCATTTTATAGTTTAAGTACTAAAAGGATAAAGATTTTTAATATCTTGAAGAATGTCTCAAGAGGGAAAGAAAACCTCGTATGTGTATTTTTAATCTCGAATTTCATTTTAGTGCTGGAAAGGGCCATATGAAGACAAGTATTGACGACTGGTTTAGTCACACATGTATTATAATCTGATCCACTATAGGAAGCAAAATGGCATTATTTCAAGAGGACTCTCTCGATTTCATATCGCTGTGGTTGCGATACCATTCTGTTAAATGGAGTGTTTTCGTATCTTTTGTGATTTGGTTGTTTTTGTGTATGAAGGAAAAAAAAAGGAAACACCGTTTCACGCATTACACCACCTACTGCTCATTTCCACACTTCGACAAATGGATTCTGTAAACATCACGTACAATACTTTTTGTGTTGTAGAGAGAGAAAACTGGAATTAAAAGCAATTTCATTTAACCATCGATGATATTCCTTCCATTGGAATAACGTAAATAACATCTTAAAACTTAAATTAGCTGTTAATGGAAAAAACTAAGTCCAAGGTTATTTAAAAGACACTTCGTCGCACAGTTCCCTAAAAACACCTGGAACCAAATAAACGTGACAACACTGATACCCAGTCTCATACTTGTCATGACTTACGTCAGTCAGACCAAAAGCGATGGACAAGACAAGTAAAATTTGTCTTCGTGCAGAGGAAAATGCGTGGGTTTCATGTTATTTCGTGTCAGTTTTTAAAGGCAATTAGAGGGAAAGTAAATAGATTGCATCCTACTTTTTCCGTCATTGATCACGATTCTCGAAAAGAAGAATTAAGTCGTTTGGCATTTTCCTTTGTGTTGGAGGAAGGTAATTAATTTTCATGCAGTAATGCTGTGGCGGCTCTTACGTTTTACTGATTCTGTTTACTTGAGATGACAAGCTTGTATTTGATAGCTGCTTCGCCTCTCAGACATGCTCGTAGCTTCTAAATAATTGAAAATAGAAGTTGGATTTTTTGTCATTATTTGGTTTGCGCATCCGGCTTTTGGTCAGTGAAAAACTAATTTAGTCGCTGTTTTGTGTACAGAAAATTAAGTTTAAATGAATGCAAGGAGATCGAGACCTATAGTTTGTCAGCAGTGAAAGAAACTTAACTACTAGTCAATTTATCTATTGAATTTATGGTTTAAATTAAAGCGTTCATCAATTTATTAGTCACCTACGGTTGCTTGCTCCAACTTTTTGGTTTTAACGCTTTACGAACCTTACAAATGGCTCGCAGTTGTGGACTTGTAAGAGGTCTGATAGTTATGCTTGGAAATTTGATCATTATGCCTTTGAGAATCACCCCTGAAAACATGGCATCATGCTTGAAATTATGCTCAATTTTTTTTATCATGCTCAATTTAGTAGTTCAAAATAACTTCTTTTAAGAGCCCCTCAACCTCCCCTCTCCCCCAATCCTATCACCGACAGGTAAAACTCGCCAAAAATAAGAGGTTTTTGGAGGTTTATAACACAACGTTATAGTGGGTCAAATTCTTAAAGCGAAAGCAAGAAAAGCAGATTCAGTGTTGGCAGTACTCAGGCTTCAAAATGTATCTCTTTTTAAACTGTAATATCAATGGAATTTTAAGAAGTTTCATCATGATGTTGGCATAATATATTTGACCCTAAGCGTGATATCACTTTCGCGTCGTCACTTACAAAAAATAATAACAATAAATGGAAAGTAAATAACCAAGTGAAGGTGATTAAAGATGTAGGGAGGAACTGGTTCCAGAGGAGCGGGTTAGTGTAAGAATAACTCATCAAATCTTCATAAGACTAAAAGCTTGTTGGCCTCTGTGGTAACCCCGATGGCCAACTAAGCATCCGTGGTATGCTTGTACGTGACTCGTTGTCTTAATCTAGCCAAGTGATGTTGCCGTGCGGTAGTGAGTTGGAGTATTCGATCGAGTGTCTAGATACAATTCAAGATCGTATCAGAAATAAGCTTGCCTTCTTGCTTCACCGACAAATTTGCCGCAGAAGTGTCAACCAGCAATGATAAGCTCTGCATGTCTTCATCAATAACCGGACACAGTTTTAACTTTATGAGAAAATAATGTTGTGTTTCCATTTCAGATTTACTTTTTTTAACTGCCTAATTGGATTTGGCAATGTGTGGTTATGAGTTTGAAACGATGGGAGGTAAATTTGAACCGCTGTTAAAAATGAACCTGACAACTAAGGAAGGGAAAAGCACGCCTGGCGATCTTTCAAAAATTCGGCTCCTATTTCGCAAAAAAGTTGAGCTTACAGATATGTTGGTATTTTACGTTTTAGATTGGGTGTGTGTGTGTGTGTGTGTGTGTGTGTGTGGGGAGTGGGGGGGTAAATTTAATCTCCAAATATGCCCTGGGAACCATCAAAGTTGATATTTATATAATACAGAGTCCATTCTCTTTGCCTTCATGAGGTTCTTACGTTATTAAGTTACTTTATTTTATTTCTTGAAATATAGATTTCAACAGAATGTGATGAAAAAAGGTCATAAACAGTTGAGGTGCAAAGTGCCATTGAAATAAAAACCATCTGTAATCGTTAATTGACAATGTACCTTTCATTATAGATTTGTCAGCGCACTAGAAATATCGAAAAATTACCGGAATGACATCTCATGTCATCCCCAACCTCCCTCCCCCCCTAAGTCAAATTTTTACACACAGGGCTTGCACTGTAAGTAGTATCCCGGAGAGCTCCATACAATTCCTTATAATAAAATTATAAGGAATTGTATGGAGCTTTTTTAGCGTTAGTCGAGGCGTGGAGGGTGTTGTCACGTACGATCCTTGCGAGGTGTTTTTCCCGACACTCTTCTGACAGAAGAATGTCGCGTAATGAAAGCAAACCAGAAACGATTGAAGAGCAACTCGGGCTTTCACATATCATCAAGTTCATTAAAACGAGCATTGAATTTCCTGCACATCAACAAGCCTTTGTTTTATACTTTTACACCGATCACGAGCTCATTTGTGTTTCGGAAATAGATCAATTAGCTACATAATGATGGCGGAATTTGTGAAGGAATTTGAAGATGAAGAAGAACGAAAAGAGCGAGCTATTAAATCACGAAAAAACACTCCAGAAGAAAGAAACAGACAGAGAAAAGAATGGAGAAAGAGGAAACAAGGGAAGCATATGCCGAATTCAACGAATAAAAATGTTGAACTACAATCACTCAACCGCGAAGCGAATGAGTTGGTGCCTTGTACTTCTGAGGCTAAGGAAACGAAACTGCCTCCTTCGGACCAACATTTTGAGCCACAAAATGTCAAGAAACCCCATATCCTCGCGCTTAAACCAGGCAGTGAAGAGATGAAAGAGGCCTTGGGTGGTTGTTCAAGAGCTGCTAAGATGATTCAAATGGCTGTTGGTGCCGACGCAGTTGTCTCGCAGAAACCTCGTGGGAAACGTCATCAAACCTTTTTAATTGGAAAAAAAACCACAGCGAGCAATGGATCCAGATTTGAACCCAAAGAACTCAGGCCAGAAAACATTGAATACTTGTCTAAAAATCCAGTTGGGAGTGGAAGCTTTGGACAGTGTTTTCTCGGGCGCTATCGAGGCTTCGACGTTATTGTCAAGCAAATGACTCACAACGAAACGTCAGAGGATGAAGAACGAGCAAGGAGAGATTTGCTCCACGAAGCAAAGGTCGTTTCTGCTTTGGGGGACCATCCACATCTACCCATGATTTTTGGTGTTGTTACAAAGGCCTCACCATTATGCCTTGTGACTCAATTTCATGGTGTTCAGCATGAAAGTGTAACTCTCCATCAAGCGGCCGATAACAACGCAGTTACTAAAGCAAACTGTATTTCTATATTTAAAAAGATATGCAGTGTTTTAGACCACGTGCACTCTAAAGGATACCTTCATAACGACATCAAAGGAAACAATGTTGTACTAGAAGGGCGACCCTAAAAGCCGGAACGGCGGAATGGCGGAATGGCGGAAAATGACCCCAAATCCTAAAACACGGAACGGCGGAAAATGACCCCAAATCCTAAAACACGGAACGGCGGAAAATGACCCCAAATCCTAAAACACGGAACGGCGGAAAATGACCCCAAATCCTAAAACATGGAACGGCGGAAAATGACCCCAAATCCTAAAACACGGAACGGCGAAAAATGACCTCAGATCCTAAAACATCGAACGGCGGAAAATGACCCCAAATCCTAAAACACGGAACGGATGTCAGGGCATGTTGCACAAATTTTGTACAAAGACACCAAGCGCTTGGCTCATTTATCCCCACGACGATAACGCGCGTGACTAAAATTAAGTGTTATTAATTTTTTTCTTTTACTGAGTGGTATAAATAATAATGAACCATTATGCATGAAAGATAGCTGCGTTTTCGCGTTGTAAACCTGTTTAGTTACCTTTTGTTAAGCAAAATTTGCCATGAAACCAAACTCGACATACCACATTACAATAAACAATTGTAACTTTGATACGTTTCCTGGTCACGTCTGTATTGATTTATTGAAACAATAACGTCTCATATGCTTGTAAATGTGAGAACATCACAGGAACGTTTTCAGGCTTCTCAAAATATGACAACGTTCAGCCCCAGCTCCAAACTTAGACTAGCGTGAGAGCAAGCCCTCGTTACGAGCCCTTCAATACGAGCGTTTTTTCATCCACGAATAAGTTTTGGGACTTGAGTAACACTAGTTGAAGAGAGGTTTGCAGGGTGTCACGCGCGTGGGAATTTCTCATGGCGTGAAAAGACAAAAGAAAGTTAGAAGAAGGAAGCCGTCAAGAAGAATTTGAAGAATTTCTTCGCGACCTGGTGTCCAAAACACCACCATCCTACTGTGAAATTTACGGCTTACATATCAGCTGAAGAAATAAACTTTCTAAACAAAAAAGAGGCTATTTCACCAATTCGTTCAGCGGATTTCTTCTGTTCCTCAACAAATTGCAAATCGTCAACTCTATGGCGTTTAAATTGCCCTTTCTGAAAGGGAAGTGTAATTCAGACGGATCTTTGGATTGTCATGGTTTACCATTATTCGAGTGGAAGCAGTTGCGAGACAAAGAAGAGGCTATCGGTCGAGGATCCTATGGTTTGGTTTTTGTGGCGAGAAACAATTCTGAGAAGGTCGTTATCAAAAAACTGTAAGGTGAGGACGAGAAGGAAAAGCGTCTTTTCCTCAAAGAGGCAAAAATACTCCATGGGAATAAAAGTGAACATATCGTTAGGTTTCAAGCTGTGTGCATGGAACCGTGTGCAATGATGCTTGAATATTTGTTTTTCGACTTCGCTCCCTTCTTCAAATTCTTCTTGACGGCTTCCTTCTGCTAACTTTCTTACGCTAGTCTAAGTTTGGAGCTTGGGCTGAACGTTGTCATATTTTGAGAAGCCTGAAAACGTTCCTGTGATGTTCTCACATTTACAAGCATATGAGATATTATTGTTTCAATAAATCAATGCAGACGTGACCAGGAAACGTATCAAAGTTATAATTGTTTATTGTAGTGTGGTATGTCGAGTTGGTTTCCACATGCTGTGCGACTTTTTATGCCGCGACAAACTCATGGCAAATTTTGCATAACAAAAGGTAGCTAAACAGGTTTACAACGCGAAAACGCAGCTATCTTTCATGCATAATGGTTCATTATTATTTATACCACTCAGTAAAAGAAAAAAAATTAGTGACACTTAATTTTAGTCACGCGCGTTATCGTCGTGAGGATAAATGAGCTAAGCGCTTGGTGTCTTTGTACGAAATTTGTGCAACATGCCCTGGCATCCGTTCCGTGTTTTAGGATTTGGGGTCATTTTCCGCCGTTGCGTGCTTTAGGATTTGGGGTCATTTTCCGCCGTTCCGTGCTTTAGGATTTGGGGTCATTTTCCGCCGTTCCGTGCTTTAGGATTTGGGGTCATTTTCCGCCGTTCCGTGCTTTAGGATTTGGGGTCATTTTCCGCCGTTCCGTGCTTTAGGATTTGGGGTCATTTTCCGCCGTTCCGTGCTTTAGGATTTGGGGTCATTTTCCGCCGTTCCGTGCTTTAGGATTTGGGGTCACTTTCCGCCGTTCCGTGCTTTAGGATTTGGGGTCACTTTCCGCCGTTCCGGCTTTTAGGGTCGCCCGTACTAGAACGGCCCTCAGCCTCTGGGGAATTCAGCCCAGTTCTTATTGACTTTGGAAAGAGCCTTAAGGTTTCATCTGTTACGTTGTACCGCAGAAACGGCACCGTTATGAAATGCAAAGGGAAAAGCTATTTAGCCCCTGAGGTTGTTAGTGAACGACTCTATGGCGTTGCCAGTGACATTTTTTCATTGGGAAGAATGCTTAAGGCGATATCGTCTTTGTTGGGTTTTTATGAAAGGGTCCGAGAATTGGTTAAAATGTCAACCAGAGATAAGCCGTCAGAGAGACCTAGCCTTTATGCTTTCTCTCGTAAGATTGCTGATGTTAAATTTTAGGTGTAGTATTTTCCAAGTCAGCAGACCTAATATCAGATAGAATCGCATCATTGCATAAAATCTCGCCTTCTGATTGGTTGACGAGGCGAGTTGTTTAGCGGGGCTAAGTGATATTGTTTCGCATCCACGTATACATAACAAATATAAGTAATGCTGTTTTCTTTTTATCTTGTTTTTATTCAAATATGTGATTCAAGGAAAATCCATTACTTGGCTCGTGAATTCCGCGTTAAATTGCACTTAAAAACCGATATCGCACTCATCGCTTCGCGTATCGCTTTTCGCGTGCAATTAAATGCGGAATTCCCTCGTCAAGTAATGAATCTTCCTACAATAGTTTCATTCAAGGTTTAGTTACTACAATTTCAGCGATTTTAAAATGAAGGACAACTTCTTCCCCATGATTCTGCCGCAAGAAATAGTTTATGACCCAGCTTACGTGAATAAGAACCTATTGACAACAGGATAATTGTAAATCATTTTTTATCAGTTTATTACCCTTAACGTGTGAACTACATCCGATTTTGAGGGGACAAAACGGCTTTCTAATGACTGCTGGAAGGGAGAAAATATCTTTCTTAATTGGGTGTAATTCCGTGGCACATTCAGTTTCTTGGCGATCGCTGCCAAAAAGCTGTAATGTCGTCTCAAAATCGGAGCAATTTTGTCCGTTTATGGACAAAATTAGGCATAACAGTGCTGGTCAAAAATAAAATATTTCGTACCAAAAAGTATCATAGTAACATCTTTGTGTAATTGTTTTATTCCGCCACGTTATTGAAAGAAGGACATTTTCTGTCTTTTAAAAATTGCTCATTTAAATAAATATAACGCAAGAGGAGTAGCGGTACAAAAATAGTCAAGGTGCAATCGAATCGAAAAAAGCAGATCTAACGCAAGAAAAACAATAGTGAATAGTGAATAGTGACTTTTTGCGTGACTTGCACAACTTCTTGAAAAAGACATGTAGCTCATCCAACTTGCCTTGCCACTGAACAAGGCGAGGCTCCATGTCAGCTTTAATATCTGCAAAATAGCCAAAACCTGAAATAAGACCTGAGAAAGACTGTAATGAGAGGCCCTATATGTTATCACATCATTCAAATAACTGTTGCAAGTAAACATTTTGTTTTCCTTGGGTAAATATTTTTGAGGAATTAAAAACAAAAAGCTCCTTTTGATGTGGCTAAATATCATTTAGGCAAAGTTAAACTGGAGCAAAGCTGGTCAGTGGGTTCACACTAACCTTTAAGGTACCAGCTCCTAAGCTCATCATTAGCAATAAGTTTAATTATTTTAATATTTTCCAAACTCATTTTCCAAAATTTTTTTATTTCAGCATAAAACACTCAATAAAGTCATATTATAGTATGGTAAACCTTCTTTAGCCAGTGAGAAAAAATCAGAACTTGTAACCAAAGAAAAAACAAAGTGTTATTACTACTGTTGTTCTACAAACCTGAGCCTTCCAAATCAATTATCTCAGTATGTGTACCAAAATCTCTTACAAAAGTGCCCTTGCTTAAAGCTTCTGAAAAGTACTAAACATTTGGAAAAATGCATTAATTACATAACATTGTGCTACCATACTACTTGAAGAAATGTTCCCTCACACCAATTTCATTGTCTTAAAGAGAATGTCTGCATGTCTTTATGCTACTTAAAGGACAGCACTTTCTAGAAAAAACTGAACTGGGTTACAGTCACTCATTAGCAACACTAGGTTACACTGCACCCATGGATGTGCCACCTAAAGTGCAGCCTATGTTAATTACCTTTAACTAAATAAGACACTGGGTTACACAGCACCCATGGGTGTGCCACCTAAAGTGCAGCCAAAGGAAGTTACCTTTACTAAATACAACACTGGGCTACACTGCACCCATGGGTATGCCACCTAACGTGCAGCCTATGTTAATTACCTTTAACTAAATAAAACATTAGGTTATACTGCACCCATGGGTGCGCCACCTAAAGTGCAGCCTATGTTAGTTACCGTTTACTAAAGAAAACACTGGGTTACACTGCACCTATGGGTGTGCCACCTAAAGTGCAGCCTATGTTAATTACCTTTAACTAAATAAAACACTAGGTTACACTGCACCCATGGATGTGCCACCTAAAGTGCAGCCTATGTTAGTTACCGTTTACTAAAGAAAACACTGGGTTACACTGCACCTATGGGTGTGCCACCTAAAGTGCAGCCTACAGTAGTTACCTTTAACTAAATAAAACACTGGGTTACACTGCACCCATGGGTGTGCCACCTAAAATGCAGCCTATGTTAGTTACCTTGAACTAAAGAAAACACTGGGTTACACTGCACCTATGGGTGTACCACCTAAATGCAGCCAAAGTAAGTTTCCTTTAACTAAAGAAAACAATGGGTTACACTGCACCCATGGTTGTGCCACCTAAAGTGCAGCCTATGTTAGTTACCTTTAACTAAATAAGACACTGGTTTACACTGCACCCATGGGTGTGCCACCTAAAGTGCAGCCTATGTTAATTACCTTTAACTAAATAAAACACTAGGTTACACTGCACCCATGGGTGTGCCACCTAAAGTGCAGCCTATGTTAGTTACTGTTTACTAAAGAAAACACTGGGTTACACTGCACCTATGGGTGTGCCACCTAAAGTGCAGCCTACAGTAGTGACCTTGAACTAAATAAAACACTGGGTTACACTGCACCCATGGGTGTGCCACCTAAAATGCAGCCTATGTTAGTTACCTTTACTAAATACAACACTGGGCTACACTACACCCATGGGTGTGCCACCTAAAGTGCAGCCTATGTTAATTACCTTTAACTAAATAAAACACTAGGTTATACTGCACCCATGGGTGTGCCACCTAAAGTGCAGCCTATGTTAGTTACCGTTTACTAAAGAAAACACTGGGTTACACTGCACCCATGGGTGTGCCACCTAAAGTGCAGCCTATGTTAATTACCTTTAACTAAATAAAACACTAGGTTACACTGCACCCATGGGTGTGCCACCTAAAGTGCAGCCTATGTTAGTTACTGTTTACTAAAGAAAACACTGGGTTACACTGCACCTATGGGTGTGCCACCTAACGTGCAGCCTATGTTAGTTACCTTTAACTAAATTAAACACTGGGTTACACTGCACCCATGGGTGTACCACCTAAAGTGCAGCCTATGTTAGTTACCTTGAACTAAATTAAACACTGGGTTACACTGCACCTATGGATCTCTAACTATAGAAAATTCTGTGTTACTCTACACTTTAAGGTGTGTTAACTAACAGAATCAGACATGCTAAAATTAAACAATGGTTCACACTTCAATCCTGAGCTCACCTATATTCCTACATGCAGTAGCTTTCAGTTAATGGAGCTCCATTAATTTCAAGCTGCTGTGTGATGGAATTAGTCATAAGATGGGCAAATTACATAGGAGACTGTAGCAATTAAAGAAATACTCACAGAGGTATTTGATTCCTAAAGCGCACTCCGACGGATCGTCTGGACGCTGTATGAACTCAATGAATACACATTACCAATGATCTTGACTACATGATGTTAAATCAAGTTGCAAGTATAAAAATAATAGTTGCTTCTTACTAACATCAACACGAGCCTGGTAAAATGTAACTCTGTTAAGGATCAAATTTTTTGCCGTGTTCACATCTTCATACGGCTTCTTGAATTTATCCAGTGGTAGGGCAAGTTCTACAATTTCTTCAAGGTGTTGAAGGATTTCCCGATCTGTTGGACCTGAAACACAACAGCATGAGAGTAAATTAAAAAAGAAAAAAAAAAGATTTTACCTAAGACCTATGGAAAACATCTCTTGAAAACATTATTTTAGGAAATGTCTTACCAGACATTGAACTGACATGGATATTCTGCTTTGTAATAGCAGACTGTTGATCTGACTTCTTCTTTACTGAGATGCGATCGCCATGAAATGACTCTGGGCCATAGTTTTTCAAGGCAGCATTGGCCTCTGCTAGGGAATCTACCCTGTATGCAAGAAGACCAATGGATGCCAACAACTGTTCAGTGTTGCGCATCTCCATATGGAGAGCACAAAGTTGAATGTTGCAAAGCTCTTCGTCCAAAAGAAAAACCAGATCATCTCGTATACCAGTTGATCTACAAGACAATTTCAAAGAATGATTGATTTTCTGAAGCAATGAATTATTTCATGTTTTTCTCTAAAAATGTTTTTCTTTTTCTTTTTCAATTACCAAACTATGAGTACTCCTTTCCTGACAGTATGAAAACAATTTTTGGCAACCTTCCAAGTTTGGCAAAAGATCCTGAATGAGGATTTTAGTTTACTAGCAACAATTTAAAAAAAAAACCCCAAACTATACACTTAATTTCAGTTCATGCTTTAGTACAAGTCATTTCCCCATGGCTTACAAAATTCATTTTGTTATGTAACAGTAAGAAAATCCCCTTTATGTGTTTGAATGTAATTTAATATGACAATGATCAAATGCCTACACACCTTCCCATGTTGCATTTGCTTCTGAGGCAATCCAGGCATGTCTCATCTGGAGCAACATCATGGCATTTGCAACCCTGACAAAAACAGGCACACTATCAAATAATTTATAATATTATAATTTCAGATAGAACTACACATTTATCATGCTTCCGATTATCTTCTTCAGAGTTCATGCAGATTTTTGGATCCAAAATTCAAGACTTTTCCCAGACCTTTTTTCCAAAACATCAATTTATTTTTCCAGACTGAAGATGGTCAAATAGGTGATCAATAGAGATCTTGAAAAATGCAGAAACCAAGCTTCTTTCATGATGCACTGCAAATGTACAATAACCATGGTGCAATTGTGAAACTTCTCATTCTGTGATTGAATGTCTTAGCTACAGGCGAGATTGAATTGACCACAGGGGAAAAAAATGAACTTATTAAGCACTTTTTGTAGCTATAAAAAAAACTCCAGACTTGAACTATTTTTCTAGACATTATCTTCAATTTCAAGACTCTTTCCAGGTCTGGAAAATCAAGACTTTTCCAAGAATTTATGACTCTGTGTGAGCCCTGTTCTTTTTACAGTACATGTATTCATACTTTCAGTGATTTTTAAATGTTTTAAAAGCAGAATGACCTTTAGAGAAGTACTTTACAACTTTTTTTGACTGAATTAAAGCTACTTGATGTTTCTATCACTCACTAATTATTTTCCCAAATATTGGCAAAGATCAAAGTCATCTGAAATCACTGTAAAAAAAGTTGATGAACTGATGCAGCACTTTTATGTACCTCAACTTTAACAGCACAAGTTGCAGTTGCCCCATACTAATTTCTATATCATTTGAGTACTTTACCCTGATAGCATTGCAGATGAAACAGAACTCGACACTGACACCTCTACCACCTAACATGAATGAAGCATTCATCTTCTTCACCAAAAGAAGTACCAAGGTCTTGTAGTCCAGTACAACTAAGTTTGATAACAGAAATGGGAAAGCAAAAGTTAACATGCTAAACTTTCCAGGAAATTAATCTCTAATGTATCTAAAGAAAAGGGTAGTCAAATCAATTTCTGACGTAAAATAGTAATAAATTCCAGGTTTTATTTCTTGCTGCTGCAGTTAAACCTTGAACATGTTTTACAATATAAAAAACTCTTAATTTACTATAGTTTGACTACTGCTTCAATCTAGTTCTAGTCAGACTACCAACTGGGTAGAAACACAATAAATTGCTATA